TGGTTTTGGCGTATGGAATTGAGCACTGCCATGTAAAAAGCTCAGCACACCAAAGCATATACTGCTCCATGACCATGTAACTCAGTTGGGGTTTTTTTGTTTTGTTTTTTGTTTTGTTTTTTTGTAGTTTAGCTTTGTTTGTTTTTTGGCATATTTAATAAGGGAGTCATTCTTCTTTCTATCCTCAAGTCAGCCTTCTAAAAGCCACAGGATGTGAGAAGAATTCCTCGGAACACACATAAAAATGACACGTATTGCACATAATACATACGTCAATGTTTTTCAAAAAAAGGTACACCCATACGTATATCTTCCCAAAACCAAAATCAAATGTTTGCACTGGGTTAAGACCGTACATCCAGATCAGAAACGCAAACTTCCCACATCTATTGTAGGAAAAACGTTCCCTATTTTGGGCTTAAAACACCAGCAATGTTTGTCTGAAAATCAACACCAACCGGCTGCAAATGGTGCAGTGCGTTGGGACCTTTACGGGCAAACAAACATTGATCTTTCTTCCGTCCTGGCTTATCTTGTCTCTGTTTGCTGCTGATGGCAAGGAGAGGATGTTTCCAGCGGCCCACTACAGCAGCTATAATTAACCAGAAACAGATGATATCTAATGTCTCTGGAGGACAGTGGAACACTTTCCCCGCACAAACCTCCCCAAAGACAATGTGTTGCCATTTAGCAAGGCACCGAGCCCAATTGCTTTTGTGTTTTTTTTTTTGCCATTAATTGTTTCTGGCATGCTTGCTGTGGGAGTGCATTCTGTAATTAAACATAATTGCATAAGTGAGCTTGAAACATTATCTCCCATTTGCTGGAGCTAGATCAGTTTTGCCAAAGCAAGGATAAAAGCACAAACAAGTTCAGTGGAGTGGTGATTTTAGCATTCATACAGTAAAGAGGCCTTTTAGAACACACGAAAACATTCAGGTGATCCTATTTGGGTTGTAGCGACTGCTTTTGCATGATGGAAAGCTCTGGTGCCAGCTGTGGTCACAAGTACTGGAATACAAACAGACCAAACCGCATCAACTTCAAAAAGTTTCATAAACAAGACCGAAATTGAGGTACAAACATTTGATGCTTTGTTTATACGTCTTGAAAGACACTAAATTATGAGTAAATAGTAAAAAAAAAAAAGAATAAAAGCGTTATTCTTTTCCAAAAACATTGGAGTTTAGAGAACTTTCTCCTGGAAATGTACCAACAATTCTCATAGAGAGCAATATGCGCAGCATCATTATTAAAAAACAGAAGAAAACAAACAGCCAGCATGCAGTGTTAGGGAACTCGCTTTGCTAACATTAATTAGCTAGCTGAGACAACATGACAGCTCAGGTGATACACCAGTTTTGACTGTCAGCTGTTTAGGGTTCTCCATCATCTTACATGTCTAAGCGTTGGTCTACAACACTGACACGGTCACATCACCGTTGATAGCAGTTCTTCTTTTGTTCCTTGAATTGTGGCATGATGAGATGTTCTGTTTGAGTCCAAACAGAACAAAACTGCTCTGACTTCAAAGGTGGATTAGGCAAATTTTATTCACATTTTGCAAGATTAGATCTCTAATGGATGAATAGGTGGAGTTGAGATTTTAGATTTGAACGATTTCTTTTTCTTTCATTTTTTTTTTACTTCTTGAGCATGCTCTCATTTCCACCCATGTTCACAAAGCACCATCCCATGACCTTACAGTGGTTCAACTAGAGCAGGGGGTCACCTCCCCTGTTCCTAGAGATCTACATTCCTGAAGACTTTAACTCCAACCATAATTGTGCTAACCTGACCGTCTAATCATCGCTTTAAGAAGTTCTTGAGACAGGTGTGTTCGATTTTGGTTGGAGATGAAAGCTGCAGGAAGGGAGATCTCAAGGAAGAAGTTCGGTCACCACTGAACTAGAGTTAGCATTAGCAAGGAGGGTCAGGACATCCGTTTCGAGTGCACATGAAGCTGACCTTCAACAGCTTGAAAGCCGAGATATAATACTATAAATACACAAAATGACATATTTGCGCCGTACAGTACATATTTGATTCATTACGTAAAGCCGCCCGTTCAAACAATCCAACGCTTTACACAGCATGTTTTCAACAAAAGATACTGCAGCTTAAATAATATTCTTTTATCACCATTAACTAAATCAGTTAAAACCCATTCTCAAAGAATCAGTTCAGTTCTGAGGTGAACATATTGGACCTAGGTAAATTTCTTCCTCCATCACATTCCAATCATGTCAGGAGTTATTTCCCATGACTGTATCCTCCTGACCTTTTCCCAAAGCTATGCGGTGCAAATATCACCTCATTTCGTGTGATTTGGGACCTTATAATGAGAGTGGTTTTCCTCCTTCTTCTCACCTGACACATTCATACATGTGCTGAATAACCTTTCTCACAAACCGTATCTGTACCTGTGCATGCACAGTCCTGATACACAGTGTGAAAGTGGGAAGAGTAATTGCGCCCAGACCGGTTCAATTAATGAATTAATTAGTTCATATTGAGGGCTGCAATGGACAAAATAATGGCCGTGTTGACTTTTAACATATGTTTGAGTGTATCAGGTCTTAAGGGTTTACTTTAAATGAGACTGCGATTGACTGGAGATCCTGTATTCTCATGGAATTATGCACACGCACGTTTCTAATCATCACACAAGCAAACAAATGGAATACAATCGGATAATCATCACCTTTCAGCATCGCTAATCAGGTTCGCTCCTTCACGGCTACAGTTTATCAAGCATCTTGTAGAATCCATGTCCAGATGAATTTCTCGAATCCTATACAATTCTATACATCAATTCTAGACAGAGGAGAGAGGACGAAGAAGTTCAAACCCCATCTCACAACGGGAATGAAAAGCAGCTCCTACCATGATTGCGTAAAATTGAAAAAAACACACACACACACACACACACACATGCTTGGCAGACAGATTACTTTATCATGTCTGGTCACCTCGTCTTGTCGTCCATTTCCCCTCAGGCTAAGTAAAGAGACGCATACGGCGGTCTGATGGGAAGCTGATGAGATATGCGGTCCCTGCAAATCCCACCAACGCACAGAGGCGTGAAAGTGAGAACGTGCTGGTGCTGACCAGCGGAAGAGCTGAGATTAGACAGCCTGGGAGAGGAAGGAGCCAGAGTTTGCTTTGCAGAGGCTATGTTTACAGAGAGAAAGGGTTGATCTGTTTTCACTTTCTATTTCCACTTCAGTTGTAATTGTAGTGACTATACCACAGACTGACAGAGAAAATAGAGTTCGCTGTGGCGCGGCGTAAACAGAGTGAGCACTGGCAGACATGAAAGGCATGTCAGGCTGTAAAGAAACACCCTGGGATGGAGACCTCCCCTCCTTCACAGATTAGATTATCAGTATCTGGGTCTGCTGCACACACATGCGGATGTCCTTGCCCAGGGAAATGAACGCACCATTCCAGGGTGGAGGTCCAATTGTCTTGGAAATAAAAATAAATTTGAGTGTCCTGGGGATCTTCAGTGTGAACCGAAGCTGACTTGAAGTCATTAGAATTGCTAAATCTTGGGAGATTAATATATATATATATATATATATATATAAAATTTCAACATGTATGAAATCAGAACCTGAGTGAGCATAATCAGCGTTATCTGAATGACATCACCACACCTTTTTATGACAAGTAGCTGTGGGCAGCACAAAGCTGCATTTCAAAATCCTGCTTCGCCTATCTTTGGACTGTGTAATCAGTGATTACTGGTGATTTTCATCAAGGTTCGAGTGGCTCTTGAGCGCCCCGGAGCACAGAGAAATGACCACCTCCACCTCAGAGGTTGTTGATTACTGCATTCTCCAGCTGTGTTAGTAAGCGTCCATGGCTGAATCGCAGCTATTGTTTGCTCTCAGCAAAGAATTTCACCCCCGTCTTACCGTAAAGTTCAAACCTAAACGCTGTCTCCCATTTTATCTCATCCCTCACCATGAGACATTCTGATTTTATGCATATTTGGCATTTCATCTTTTGTCCTTGCGGAACAAAAAGATGTCTTTTTTATCTGGTATTTATAGCAGACTCTAAACTGATAACAGCGTGGCGTGAACTGAATGACACTAGATTAATAACGCCATGCCTTGCGTCATGAATAAAACTAACATGGATGCTGACTTTTATCTAATATGGCTTATGGCACTTTGTTGAAGTCACTGATGAAGAGCACGGAGAGATTTCAGAGGGCTCTGCGGTGAATCCATGAAAGGATAACCAGATTCTTTTTGCATCGTAGGACAGTATCTCAGACATGTTTGATTCAAACGGTTATTTATTTAGAAATGATAACAATCTTGTGCTGCACGGCATTATTCATGTTTTGTGTGACATTTTCACATCTTTAAAATGCTATTGCATGGCATCACTGGCTATTGCATTTGCTTTTAGGAAACGGATGATGCGTGTGAGAGAGGTATTAAAGCATGGCCTTGATTTGTGAGAGTTGGAAATGGAGGTCTGCTGCTTGGCTATGAGAGGACAGATGGCTCATGATGGCTCTTTTAGCTCAGCGCAAGAGGCCGCCGCTCCATCATCATCATCTCCACGAGCATTAATAGACGATTGGACCTGGACAAAAAGCGTTACAGACCCTCACCAGGATAAAGCTCTGAGATTCTTTTTAGGTTTTTGTTTTTGAAAGGCTGTTTAAAAGCTGTTTTATGGTTCCATGTAAACTAATTATATCATTAGAAATTTGGGGGGAGGTGTGTGTGTGTGTGTGGGGGGGGGTTTTACAGTTTGCACCGGTTCTATACTATTACTATACTATACTACTACTGTTTATCCTACACAGGGTCGCACGGAGCCTGGAGCATATCCCAGGGGACATGGTGACCGGTGTGCCAACCCATCGCAGGGCACAATCACACACCCATTCGTACAAAATGCCAATCAGCCAACAACACACGTCTTTGGATTGTGGGAGGAAACCTGCAGGACATGCAAGCTCTGTGCACACAGGCCAAAGGTGGGAATCAAACCCCCAACCCTAGAGATGTGAGGCAAACGCTCTATCCCCTAAGCCACCATACCCACGGTTTTATATTAAACAGAAGTATTTGGTTGTGAACAAATAATAGTAATAATAATAATAATAATAATAATAATAATAATAATAATAATAATAATAATGTTATTATTTACTAAGCATTATTAGTGTATTCAGGAGGATCATCTATATTGTTGATAATGGTTGTCTGAAACTGTGCTGTAGGCTGGAAGAGATACAGTGTTGTGTCCAAGATTGGCACAGTAAATGTCATGAGAAGAATCAGTGTGTATATATCATGACTAGCTGCAGGTGTTTCTCAAAAACCCAATCCGGTGCTACAGGGCTATCTGGTGTGCCATAGCACATCCACTGAATGGATTTCCTACAAAAAATGATACCATTGTCATGCTCCTTAGAGCTTTGTTTTGGTTTGGTTTTTTTTTTGTTTTTGTTTTTACCAGCAGAACAGTGACTTACAAGCTGGGGATGGTTTAATGGGTTATTGCCTTTACCAAAACACACTCACGGGGCCAAGTCTGAGGCTGAGCCCTTTGCAATATCAGTTTTATTGTTTCCAGCTGCTGGAATGATGAGTGAATGTCAGAGAGATGCCACATATCCCCCAGAGTTTGACGTTAATGGCATCTCCGCAATCATTTCTGTTTATGAATATGGAGCTGCCGACTGCAACACACCACGATCCTGCCCGTCCGCCTCTCCTACCTGGTTACTAAACGACTGGTTTGGGGGAAATATGAAGTTTATCAATTCAACTCAGCGAGTGCGTTAATTTGACCCGCACAATTATAACTTCCATTGCTTGTTAGCTACTTTTGTCTCATAACCAACCAGACAAAGATATAGAAGCAAGATTTGGACAGCGAACAAGTAGCAAATGATTGACTTCATTTGAGGTAAGTAGGACATTTGTGTAAATTCGGGTTTTCCACAAATCGTTCCTGAAATCCTGTTCAAAGAGATGTGGCGCAGCTGCTCAAAATACACTCTGCTGCTTTGTTCCCTCCCAGCTGCAAAGTTCAGACCTTTTTTTTTTTTTTTTTGTGAACATCTTTGGCTGTGGGTTCATCTGAATCCTTTTCGGAGGTGATGAGTGGCACCGGGGTGTAAATGGCAGCAGTGAACTGAGGTGTGTGTGTGGCAGGGCATTGCTGAATGCTTAAGAGACCGGCTCGCTGCAAAGCTTCCACTTCAAATACGCAGGTTCAACAATTCAAGGTGGATGCCCATCTGTTCAGTGACCTCTGCTGCAAGTGCTGAAGGTGAACAAAGCCGTTGTGTGTGTGTGTGTGTGTGTGTGTGTGTGTGTGTGTGTGTGTGTGTGTGTGTGTGTGTGTGTGTGTGTGCGTGCAGATGCTGCTATTCCTGATTAATGTTTGAAAGTAAGTTGATGAGAAAAAAGAAACAAGAAAAAAGTACTATGTAAACAAACATTAGATGGGCTCACACTGTCTTGCCTCAATAGGCTGGTCTTTAATTACACATCTTTAGCCTTCCGCTGACCCTGTGAGACTGCATTATTCCCCAGCGTGTGGACGGTGGCCAGACTGAGGTGACCCCCTATCTGCCAGCACTACACTGCAGCAAACACTGCTTCCATCAAAGCCACTATTGTATCTACCATTTGGAGGGATCAGATGATGCTCCTGCTCGCTCTCTCTCCCTCTCTCTCTCTCTCTCTCTCTCTCTCTCTCTCACTTTCTGCTGGCAATCAAAACATCAACACGTCTTTGCTATATTTCCTGCAGGTGAGTGAATACTAAAGAAAGTTAGTATTCACTCACTCCCCTGCAACAAATATGGCTACGTTACATAAATAGCTTTTTTAACATTATGTACAAGGAGTGGCCTAGAGTACCGGTACTACAGATGAACCCCCAGGTGAACTCAGAGCGTACGATCCCTGGAGGCAGGGATGGGCAAAAATAAATACACCTGTACTGTACTCTACTCATTCATGCAATTATCATTCAATCAATCTAATCAGCCAATCATGTGGCGGCAGTGCAATGCATAATATCATGCCGATACAGCCCAGCAGCTTCGGTAATGTTCACACCAACAAAAAGGACGTGATGTCAGTGATTTTGACCGTGGTAGGATTGTCGGTGCCAGACGGGCTGGTTTGAGTATTCCTATAACTGCTGATCTCCTGGGATTTTCACACACATGGTCTCTAGAGTTTACTCAGAATGGTGTAATAAAGAATAAATTTCAGGTGAGCGGGGGTTCTGTGGACGAAAACGCCTTGTTGATGAGAGAGGACAAGGGTGAATGGGCAGAATGATTCGAGCCGACAGAAAGGCTGCAGTAACTCAGATACGCACTCTGGACAAGTGTGGTGAGCAGAAAAGCATCTCAGAAGGCACGACGTGTCGAACCTTGAGGCAGATGGACTACAACAGCGGAAGACCACATCAGGTTCCAGTCCTGTCAACCAAGAACAGAAGGCTGAGGCTGCAGTGAGCACAGGTTCATCAAAACTGAACAGTTGATGACTGGAAAAATATAGCCTGGTCCGATGAATCTCAATTTCTGCAGAGGCAGGAAGATGGTAGGGTCAGAATTTGGCACTAACAGCATTTACATATACATCTTCTAAATGGCTACTACTGGCGTGATAATCTACCATGTCACAAAGCAAAATTCGTCTCATATGGTTGTCATGAACATGACAATGAGTTCAGTGCTATTCAGTGGTCTTCCCAGTCGCCGGATCTGGATCAAATAGAACACCTTTGGGAGGTGCTAGAACGGGAGATATGCAGCAGGAACGTGCATCTAAAAAATCTGCAGGAATTGCGTGATCTCAACATGGACCAGAATCTCAAATCAATGTTTCCAACATCTTGTGCCAACATCCATGCCATGAAGAATTGAGTCTGTTTGGGGAGCAAAGGGAGGCCCTACCGAGTATTAGTACAGTGTTCCTGATAAAGTGTTTGGTAAACAGTCATGATTTTTGCAGCATGCTGGAGAGAAACCAGTCCGTCAACAGATCTTTACACAGTCCCTGGACATGCAGAGAATTTCTAACCAGTTTAGAGTACCTGCTCTGAAATACACCTGGCGTGCACGGGTGTCATTCGTACGTTTTAAAAAATACCAAAAAATTGTAATACAAATGACAAATATTATTGCTTAATATTTCATATATACATGTATCACAGATACAGACTAAAACGAACACTACATATTGTTCGATCTAATCTCTATCCACCTCATCTGCAGCACTAAATGTGGCAACAAAAATTTCAACACTGTTGAGAAGTGGTTTACTCAATACACACTTGTAATGGATATTTAAAAGCATTTGTTCAATTCAGCTTTCCCTGTGGTTTTGTGGGATCGGATGGAAGCTGAGGCTCTTCACCTTGTTAAGACTTTAGTTTCTTTATGTCAATACATGACATACAGCGAGGGAAAGAAGTATTTGATCCCCTGCTGATTTTGTACGTTTGCCCACTAACAAAGAAATGATCAGTCTATAATTTTAATGGTAGGTTTATTTGAACAGTGAGAGACAGAATAACAACAAAAACATCCAGAAAAACGCATGTCAAAAATGTTATAAATTGATTTGCATGTTAATGAGGGAAATAAGTATTTGACCCCTCTGCAAAATATGACTTAGTACTTAGTGGAAAAACCCTTGTTGGCGATCACAGAGGTCAGACGTTTCTTGTAGTTGACCACCAGGTTTGCACACATCTCAGGAGGGATTTTGTCCCACTCCTCTTTGCAGATCTTCTCCAAGTCATTAAGGTTTCGAGGCTGACGTTTGGCAACTCGAACCTTCAGCTCCCTCCACAGATCTTCTATGGGATTAAGGTCTGGAGACTGGCTAGACCACTCCAGGACCTTAATGTGCTTCTTCTTGAGCAACTCCTTTGTTGCCTTGGCCGTGTGTTTTGGGTCATTGTCATGCTGGAATACACATCCACGACCCATTTTCAATGCCCTGGCTGAGGGAAGGAGGTTCTCACCCAAGATTTGACGGTACATGGCCCCGTCCATTGTCCCTTTGATGCGGTGAAGTTGTCCTGTCCCCTTAGCAGGAAAACACCCCCAAAGCATAATGTTTCCACCTCCATGTTTGACAGTGGGGATGGTGTACTTGGGGTCATAGGCAGCATTCCTCCTCCTCCAAACACGGCGAGTTGAGTTGATGCCAAAGAGCTCCATTTTGGTCTCATCTGACCACAACACTTTCACCTAGTTGTCCTCTGAATCACATGTATATGTGCTTTCTTGAGCAGGGGGACCTTGCGGGCGCTGCAGGATTTCAGTCCTTCACAGCGAAGTGTGTTACCAATTGTTTTCTTGGTGACTATGGTCCCAGCTGCCTTGAGATCATTGACAAGATCCTCGTGTGTAGTTCTGGGCTGATTCCTCACTGTTCTCATGATCATTGCGACTACACGAGGTGAGATCTTGCATGGAGCCCCAGGCCGAGGGAGATTGACAGTTCTTTTGTGTTTCTTCCATTTGCGAATAATCGCACCAACTGTTGTTACCTTCTCACCAAGCTGCTTGGCAACGGTCTTGTAGCCCATTCCAGACTTGTGTAGGTCTACAATCTTGTCCCTGACATCCTTGGAGAGCTCTTTGGTCTTGGCCATAGTGGAGAGTTTGGAATCTGATTTATTGATTGCTTCTGTGGACAGGTGTCTTTTATACAGGTAACAAGCTGAGATTAGGAGACTCCCTTTAAGAGTGTGTGTGCTCCTAATCTCAGCTCGTTACCTGTATAAAAGGCACCTGGGAGCCAGAAATCTTTCTGATTGAGAGGGGTCAAATACTTATTTCCCTCATTAAAATACAAATCAATTTATAACATTTTTGACATGCGTTTTTCTGGATTTTGTTGTTGTTATTCTGTCTCTCACTGTTCAAATAAACCTACCATTAAAATTATAGACTGATCATTTCTTTGTCAGTGGGCAAACGTACAAAATCAGCAGGAGATAAAATACTTATTTCCCTTACTGTATGTGTCAAAACTGCCCAAGTTATTGTCCGT